CTCTGATGTCAGTAAGACTTTTTAAGAAAGTTTGTAAAGGTACTATAAACATATAATTGGGGAGTTTGCTAGTTAACAATTATCTTGTATGGGGGCCTGTGAGATAGGTTACTGTCAGATTTATCAATTATATAACAGCATAGTTTGGTTCTATTATGATATCATTAATAATCATTAATATTTTTTTTATTTAGAAAGGCCGATGCACATTCAGGGAAAATGAGAGCTGTGTGGAGAGTGAGCAGCCCCACCTTGGGCTGGGTCCGATATTTACAGAAGGGCTGTATCAGGAGTTGGGCTGGAGGTGGGGCCAGGTGGAGCTGCCCAATTTTGTGCCTGTTTTCCCTGCACTTGCCTGTGTCCCTCAATTTACAAGGGCATGGGCCAAGGGGATGTTGCTCAAGATTTATAACTGGGCCTAAGAAGGTTATCTAAGTCCTTTTTTACCTACAGAACAGCATGGAAATTTTGAGTGTCCACTAGTACTATTAAAAGGGACAAAAAGGATTTTATTATCTAACTTGCTATTAAATAAGTAGGCTGAAGAGGCACCTGCCTCTGTGTGTGTGTGTGTGTGTGTGTGTAACATAGAAGTATATCTTGAAGAAAATTTCATGACCTTTCAAATAGAGGGTCATATTTATTTCTGGAATCTGTAAAGTTTTTAAAAGAAAAAGCCCATAAAGTCTTTTTGTATTCCTTACTGGGGGAATGAAGAGTGGAGGAACTGGGAAGGGATCATGGATGGGACTGAGAGGAGGAATGGACAAGCTAAAGGTGGGAATGGAGGACAGGAGTCGGAGGCAGAGGGCGAGAGTGAGCTGGAGAAGGAAGAAGGTTTCTAAGGATGTTTGGTCGTCTTGCCATCTAGTGCCCTTTAACTGCCGCTCTCTCGTGGCTTGCTGCTTTTATATTTTTGCAACCCTTACTTTCAGAAACTCGTTGAGGAATAATTAACTTATGGTGGAAGCTTTCCCCAGCCATAAACCAAGAGCTGCCAGAGAAGCGTAGCGTTTCTAACCAGTTGAAACCAGTCTTTACCTGTATTTTAATTTATTACAGTGAAGCGCATACATAGGAAAAGTTGTAGTCAGTCATAAGCTTTTGAAATTGCGTTTTGGCAAAGTGTGATTTTTTTTGTTGTTGTTATTGTGAGACAATTTTATTGAATATTATCTTTTATTATTTACCTTTTATGTTTTCTGTTTTTTCCATTTTCTGCCATATCAAATTACTATGGAGCACAGATTGGAATCCAGCTGTTGAGGTTGTTCTCTATTCAGGGAAAAGTATCCTTGCCTGAGCTGCTGGCTGATCTGCAGTTGCCTGTGTGAGAGGAAAGTGGAGCCTGGTAACTGAACTTTGCAAAGGGTTTCTCCTGTACCGTGCATTTCTTGCCTTCCTCGTATTTGCTCCTTACCAAAATTAAGGCCTCAGAATGATGGATGATCTGATGAACCTCATGGACATTAGAAAAGTCAGGAAGACTGGACGATTTGGAGAAAAATGAACCAAATTGGAGAGATCAACAATTTTCAGAAAGTGATATATCTTCTTCTTTGAATGGAAAGCTAATTTCTGTCTCCCACTTTCCCATCCCATCCCGTCTTTGGATGCATGTATTTATTTCTTTAGTTGGACCTTCACTTTGCTTATCTTAGTTTTTCTTGTACCTCTTTTTCAATTTCATGTGTTCATTTTTTTTTTTTTTGACACGTGTTAATCAAAGGCCAAGTTACAGTGCAGGTTGGGCCCTCTCCTTGGGACTGACATCAGATCCACTTGAGGGCAGCCCAGCTGGCTCACATCTAAGTCTCTTCTCCAAGGCCACCTCCTTCCAGCCCCACCACCAATAGGGCTGCACACAAGGTCCCCTGTATGACTGTCAGTGTCCTCTTTCTAGCTCCTGGATGACAGTCAACCTTAGATAGCAGAAGTTTAGTGGCAAATCGACGTTTAACATGAGCTGAAAGAGCTGCAGGGCACATAGTAGGTAAGGGCCTAATAAATATTTGATGGATGTACAAAGAAATGAATGTGCAAAGGAATATAGCTGCTAACTGAAGTCCTTCAGGAACGAAGCTGTTGAGGCGAGAGCTTCTGTCCGTAAGTATGGCCAATTAAGTGTGCAGATTTAAGCATGAGTGTGTCCCAGTGTGTGTCCATTACTGATTGCTGCAGCCCGCAGGTTCCCCAGTGAAATCATATGCAAGCCTGCCCTGACAGGAACTGCTTGCCAGATGAGTCATCATGGGACTTCCCAAGAAAAAAGGATGTCAGCCTGGGGATTCCACACTTAGCTTTACCTTTAGTATGAAAGGCCTTCTGTGACCCAAGGATTGGAAGAATGGAATCTCATTAGAACTGATGCTTGAAACCTGGGCTTCCTCCAGTTGATTAGCAGCAAGACCTACTGGCACACTTTTTTTGGATTGAATTGGCAGGGTTCTCGAGTCCAGGGCTTCCCACTTGCACAGGCTCTCGGTTCTTTGTTTTCCACCAGGTCCTTGTTACACGGGGTACTTTAGCAGCCTTGATGAGAGCGGTAAAGACTGTTGTTTCTGTGGCTGCTGATTTCGTGTTACAGCTCTTCCCCCTTCTGTGATTTGATTTGAAGTCTCAGCCCACCAGGGGCCGTTGGTCCCACCTCTGCCTTTCCCAGAGCTGACTGGTTTTCTGCATGGCTGCTGTTTCCATGCTATTCACGGTGACTTTCCCTCTGTATTCCTCTCCAGCAGCAAGGCACTGCTCCAGAATCTCGCTTTCCACAGAAGGCATAACATGGAACCATTTGGATAGAAAAATTATAAATTAAAATTATTCTGTTCACTTTAAAATATTCATTGTGTTGCTCAAATGCCAGTAACTGGAAAATCATGGATAATGTCCTGTTTTCAAAACCTCTTTGAGAATGTTTGAGATCTGTTTGTGTTGTTGCTCACCATCTCTCTTCCTGGAGTGGAATTTATGATAAAGTATTTTTTTAAAAGGTTGCATGAGTCCAGAGTCTGATGGCATATATAATATTAAGAATTTAAAATGACACTATTAATTGCAGTTCATTTTTAAATAGAAAAATGTTTCGTGTACAGAGCATGTTTATAAAAATTTTAAGACTTACAAAGATAGCCAGTAGACATGCCAGCCTCTTTCTTGGTAGCCAGTGATATGCCATACTCTTCTTATGAAATGATTAAAACTAAGCAAAGATTGATTATTTCCGGAGCTTATATACTTAAATTAAACAAAGAAAACCTTTATATTCACAACACAACTGTTATTTTGTTTGTTTTTTTTGTGGGGGGAGGGGATCTTAGGGTTTGAATCAGGGGTTCTTTATCACTGAGTACATCCCCATCCCCCCCTTTTTTTATTTTGAGATGGGGTTCACCTAAGTTTCCAGGGCTGACCTTGAACTTGGGCTTCTCTTGTTGGAGTCTATAGAGTAGCTGGGATCATAACATGTGCCACGAGGCCTGGTTAGGATTTTTATACTAAAAACATCTCTCTTTTTTTTTTTTTAACTGGAGCCTTCTTTTGAGATCTTCTGTTCTCATTGCTAAACAGTGATCCTTTAGTTTGGGAAACTAAAATTGTATTTCTATCTTTGTATTTTCCATGTTGTGTGGGTGTGGGTGGGGCTGTGTGTGTGTCTCAGAAAGCTAGGGAAAAGCTGGGGTGTAGCTTAGTGACAGAGTGTGTGCCCAGCATGCGCAAGGTCCGGAGTTCAATCCTAGCACTGGGGGGAAAAAAAGATATGACCATTAGAAGATTAGATTTTTTTTAATAAAGTGAATTTGTCCCTTATTCTAAAGCAAAGAATTGTGATTAGAAATCTTAACTCCAAGCTGTGGAAAAATCTTGATTTTTTTGGGGGTTTTTTTTTTTTTTTTTTTGCCTTTTTATGCTGTAAATTTTATCCATGTTCCTGTAAATGCCATATGTTGTATTTGTTGTCTCTCTTGGCTCGTAAAATTTAAATGTAGTTTTGAAATTCTTCTGTCAACTAAAGTCAATTTAAAATGATAATGTCGAGACACTTTCTAGAAACTTCCACTTTGGTTTGGACTGACGTCCTAGCTTGTGCGCCTGCCTGTGTGTTGAGGTTCTTCAGAGGCAGGAAGTCACTGGAGCATGAACATTTTCACAGGCTGGTTCCTCTGTGTTAGCCTGCGAGTCACTTGGCCTTCTGCAGTAGGCTGATCCTTTAATTGAATATGGGTTCAAACATGTTCTGTGTGTGCACCAGGAAACCCTGGGTGGCTCTCCTTCACTCTGTTTTATTCATTTGAAATGGCATTAGGTGATCCAAAGGATTTCCTCTTGATTTTTGGAAGGATGTTTTTGCAAGCTCTAATATTTGACGAGAGGATTCTTTATGATAACAAAAATATAAATGCACTTTCTTTAAGTCTGACTGGTGGGAAATAGGGGGCACGCAGTCTGGGAATGGCCTTCCAACACAAACACCGTTTATGCTGCGACCAACATTTTTGGATACGGCAATAAAATGAACAGTATTTTTAACTGAATAAAGAAGAAAGATTAGAATAAACTACTACAGGGAAGTAATTCCTTGGAATTAGTAAGTTGACAGTTTTCCTTGGGTTGGTGATAGGCTGACTGCTGACAGTACCTGTTCTCTCCAGGGACAGTTTCAGTTCCAGGGCTCCTGGTGTTCAATAAGCTGGGTATTCTCTGAGGTGGGCCTGAAGCCCTAGCCCTGACCAGAGAGTGCTGGGAGGGAGCTCAGTTGAACCGATTGGCTGTGAGCGTCAGTCACTTCCTGGGACACACTGACAATTTACAACATCGGGTAACTCGGTGGTGTTCATAAACCGAACTTGATAACCCCTGCCACTAAGGGATGGCTGCATTTCCCTGCAACTGAGGACCCAGACTGCCTGCATCATGGTGTCAGCGGCTGCATTAGGAGGGTGAACAGCTGTAGGGTGCGGCAGCTCTGAACAGATTTGTTCCTTATCTCCTTTGATTCGCAGAGGGTGTCTGTGAGATCTGGTTGACCAGTGAAGACACGGGGGCCTACGGCAGGGATATCGGCACCGACCTCCCCTCGCTCCTGTGGCGCCTGGTTGAAGTCATTCCCGAGGGAGCGATGCTGAGGCTCGGCATGACGAACCCCCCCTATATCCTAGAGCATCTGGAGGTAAGGACAGTGACCTGGTGACACCATTGCCCGCCCAACCCTGAGGCTGCCCAGGATGGTCTCCTCAGCTTCACTGGAAGCCATTTCACCTTTGTGGTGGCCCCTCACAGCGGCGAATCGAGTCTTTCAGGTCCCCTTGTGTCAGTCCACGCGGTTTGTTGCTGCTTCCTCATCATCAGTGAATGCTCCTTACGTTTTTCAATACTTGACACCTTCTCCTGGGTGCTTGTCGGCTCCTTGCAGTCCTTCAGTTCCCCACACCTAAGGTCCCCTCCACCCCGCCCTGCCTACTTCAGAACTGGTAATAAGTTGTATTAATTTTGCAGTCAACAGCCAATATGATGTCATCCAAACTCCATTAGCCATGTTAGTAAGAATACTGCACCCTGTGTTTAGGGGTTATTGAGTTTGTCCCTTTGTCCAGGGACAGAGTGGAATCAAACAACACAGAGTGATGCCCTTCCACTTGATTCATCTTGATCACTGAGAGCAGAGAAGGAGGCGTCCCTCAGGCCGCTGGTTTCATCTTTATATCCACAGACCAGGACGTTCGCCTTACATAGCTAGGTGTCAGACTAGAAAAAACAGCAACTGTTACAGATGACAAATGCCATAGTAAACTGAGCCCACACGCCTGTAATCCCAGCAACTTGGGAGGCAGGAGGATCACAAATTCAAGGCCAGCCTCAGGAGGTCCTAAGCAACTTAATGAGACCCTGACTCAAAATTCAAAAAATAGAAAGGGTTGGTGATATAGCTCAGGGGTAAGGTACCTCTGGGTTTAATCCCTTATGGTGTTGGTGGTACTACTACTACTACTAATAATAATAATAATAAGAGGAAGAATATCTGAGTAAAGAGTGTGGACAGGGGAACAACCACGTAAAGGAAATGAGCCGAGTGTGGTGGTGCAGGCCTATGATCCCAGTTACTCTGGAAGCTGAGGCAGGTGGATTGCAATTTTTAAAGCCAGCCTGGACAATTTAGCCAAACCCTGTCTCAAAAAACTAAAAGGTCCGCAGATGTAGCTCCCTTACCTGGGAGCATAGTCTGGTATGTGCACTGGCCTGGATGCAGTGCCCAGCGTGGCAAAGAAGTGTGCGTGCTAGGATGCAGGGCGTTTGGAGAGGCGATTGCCATAGGTTCACGACATTGGACCTGAGTCCAGGAGCTCTCAGAACGTCTTGTGAAGTGGGGAAGGAAGTCTCTTATTCAGGTGTGACCTTTGCTGTACGTTTGTGCAGAAAAATAACAAATCAGCCAAAATTGCTGAAAGTTAATGCATAAATGCAAATACATATTTGAATATTTAAAAGTTATTCATGTTGATTTGATTTTCGTTCTACATTTGTGAGGTTTTTGTGAAATAGCCACCTTAGTATCCACAATGTAATTTAGAAATTCTGAGAACAGTGTTAATAACAATGATTGTTAATTGCAAATATATAATGAAGAAATATAGCAATTTCAATTGTGTTATTTACATTTTCCCAGCTAGGTCTTTCTAGTAAAGGGTATAGGAATTTTACGGTAAGTTTGGTCCCTCACAGCATGTGGGATGATTCTGATTTGCTTTTAAAAATAATTCACAGACACGTCAACTTTCGCTTAACACTTTGACTCAACACTTGAAAAAGCAAGTGATTCTGTGTAAAAAGGAAATATGCTAAAAGCTGTGGCAGTCTTGCCATGTTTGCAGTAAATGTGGAGCATGCATCGTTGAAGACCCAGCGGCGTGCTGGGTACGTGGTCGGTAGGAAGGGAGCTGGGCCCCTCCAGTGTGTGGTTTATGATGGCGTGGTGAGAGAAGAAAAAAACACGATTATGGATTCAGGGACAGTGCAAGCTAAAGTTGGAGAAGTTCAACTGTAAACACAAGGGGAAAAAATCACGTTCTGGCTCTGAGGTGACTTCAAGTACTTCTTGGAATAAAGTCAGCATTTTAATGATTGCAAGATTCAGCAGCCCTGCTGCGTCCAGATCCAGTCCTCCTGCTCACCACCTACAGGAGTGACCGTCGCTGGCCTCCCACAGATGCTCCAGGAGAGCTGCTCAGAATCAGCCCGAGGTGCTAAGCATGACTGTATCCTTCACCTGGAAAACACCGCGTTGAGTTCATAGAGCTCAGAGAGTCTGGGAACAAGTCGATAGTCACATGTGATGGTTTCTAAATCCTTGCCTTGAATTGGGTGTGATGTTGGCCTTCCCTCTCACAATGTTGTCGTCTTGAAGTGAGGACATACATGGTCCTCTCATCCCTGCGTCTACCCCTCCCAGTAGTACTAGAGAAATGAGTGTAAAGGAGTGAATGAAGGAGGAAGCTCCTTCCTAAAGTCCTTGTAGGGCACCCAGCCCAGTCAGCAGCTTTGACCCCTCAAGTTTCTGACCTTGACAGGCAGCAGAAGATGACGGAGGGTGAGAGGTTTCCCCTGAGCAAGCCGCAGATTCCTGTGTGCTTCACAGGCAGGGGTGGGGCCTGCCGTTGTGCCACCTGGGGGAAGCCGGCACCCAGAGGTGTGCTGGGAGGAGCTGGGCCATCTGCACCCAGAAGCTTTGCACACCCTCCCCCTCCTCCTCCCCCCCCCCCCCCTCCCCCCCCCCCCCCCC